ATACGTATTTTTCAATGTACAGAGTGGATCGGTTTTCAATTCCCATCATTAATTTATTATTAGTCTCTCGTAAATCATAAGCGATCGCAAATGCCCTTAAAAGGAAAACAAACAAATCTTGAAATGTTTGAGCAAAAATCTATACTTCTCTAAATGATGAAATTTGGTACTTGGAAAAAAATATTTTCTACTCATTATGAAAAAGTAACGATTTGTCTCTTCGAAAGAAGACGAAAATGGTGAAAATGGCAAATTATGTCAGTATGCCATATGTCCAATGTTTTTTTTTAATTAATGCACTAGTTTTGTCCTTTAATTTATATAAATCTTCTTATTAATTCATTTAATTTTAACGGAATATGTTTTGTGTACATCTAAAGATTTTTAAAAATCTAAAATAAAGTGATAACATTTTACTTGACGAAATCTTATCTTCAATGTGACATCGGCAATTTTGAAAATAATGTATGTGTTGTTTTGTCGAAGGAATTAAAAAACTATTTAACTAAACTAACATATAATAAAGTGTGTTACAACTTAAAGTCACTGCGATTAATTCAATATGGCCAACTTGGCAGAGAGCGGCTATTTTGCAGGTACTTTGAATGCAAAATCAGCAACACTAGACTAAACAACATTTTTTATTAAAGGTATTGTGTGAAACAACTACTTTGTGGACTAATGCCTCGACCTGCATTGAATTATATCCACAATATCTAGTGAACACCAAAACATTCGTCAGTAGAATCACCAAACATATACCGGTTTTGAACTTATTAGTTCTCACCATCAATATATAATATAGGTCAATATTTTTTGTTCATCTCTTGTTGTAAGATATACTATTTTGGACTATTTACAATTTTCAGAGATACCTACAATCTGTAATTTATTTTTTTTTTATGGACATCGTACTGTATTTTTAAATAAAACTGTTTTTTATTACATTGGGATAGCATATGAGAGGGGTCGCTAACAAGATGTATAGGTACCATTATTTGTTCGCTTCGATAGTTTGTACAATATTTTGATTTACTTACTGATCCTCCAATAGGTTAACATCAAGAAAGCCGTGAAACCAGTTCATATAATTTATAGTTTTTCGTTACTGAATTTAATAAGCAGACTTTTAATTTTTTATTTTGTTTTTAAACAATGAAGGAAACAAAGAAGAATCAAATACTGAATGAAATTAATACTATCAATGAAGTGGATAACAAAAGGCATTATATAAAAAATTGTTTGATATATGTGCTTTGTCTAAAAACAGGAGGAAGGCATTATACAGGCTGTTACAAATTGGCTTCTCCCTACAGGGATCTCGGAAACGATAAGAGGTACGAAGTAGCTTAAATGAGGGCATCGTTGCGTAATCAGGGGACCAACATTATGCCTCTAAAAATCAAGGCTAACATGATTAATTTCCGAAATATTTGAAAAAAACTGAAATTTTGCATATCCGTTTTTGTTTCATTTCAGCCTTGTTTGGGATTGATATTGAAAAAAGAAGAACACTTTCTCATGGTCACTTTTTGCCCTCTATCGAATAGCATAATCAATTTTTATATGTAACGTTTCGTCTCTCCAGGACCATCATCAACTTCATTTTTTTAAATACGATCCTAGAAATTTTATTAAATTTTTTACAAGCCTTCATGACCCCCAATACTGTATTGCCTCAGCCCTAACCAGATTGAGACGTTTTGTCTCTAAAAATTCATCTTCAGTGTATTCGTTCCAAATGTATCTAAATTTTTTATTTAGATTTCCTTGTTTATTGATTTATCGTACACTGTAAGTGTCCTTAGACCCTGTGAAATCCATCGAGTTATTTAAACTATTACCACCTCTGATTACGCAACTTTGCCCCCATTTTAAGCTACTTCGTAGCTCTTACCGTTTCCGAGATCTCTGTAGTGAGAAGCGAATTTGTAACAGCCTGTATAATACCATACATTTTTCTTAAAAAAAAATTGTTTGTTTAGTTTAGTTCAGTGGTAGGTTTGTTTAGTACATTTTTAATAGCGAAAGAGCATGCACACTCACTGTTTTCATGGCAATTTTTATTCAACAGGGTGTTAATAAACTTTTCAATAAATCAAAGTCACTGAAATTTCAAAATGGAGCTCAAAATGAATAATAATTAAAATAATTGAAACTTGTTGGAAACTTCTGGAATCGTCCCCAATTTACATACCACATAAAAAGAGGTGAATAGTTGCTGTCCCTGAAAATGGCGTGTCGTCCACTTTTTGTCCCATTTTTTGTAGTAAACAAAAGAAGGCTAGTTCAGTTTTAGATAATTATCAGTTTTACTTTAGTTTTCAAATACAGTAATATATTTTTCTAGGTTCTTACATTTAACTGTGTTTTCTGGTTGTGAAAGGACAGTGCGCCTATGATGTATTCATGCGTTAATATAAATGAATAAATATACTAAATGGCCCATTAATACAGTAAGAATGATTTAATTAATATATGGTATGGNTTTTCGCCTGCGGCGCCATTTACAAACTCTCCTGAATATTCCGGAATTCAATTCAAAAAATGTAACAATCCTAAGCAGAACACATTCAATAAATGTTCACGCGCCGCCACTGTGCATCAATATTTTTAAACAGAGATAAAGCTAGCGGTTCCGAAAAAGTTTTTATCTTATCAATACAATCTGTCCGTTCATATCATAAAGATTAGGTTATTTTATCGAAAACTGTCGAATGGCATAATGACGCATACTTTTAAATCTGCATATTGAGACGATAGATCCTCAATTCGATTCAATTTAACTTCCATTTCGAATAAATTATCCCGCCGTATAGTGCCGTGTGAACAGGGAGGTAAGTCAGTAGAGAAAAAAATATAGTCTGTTAGCAATAAATATTCCTACCAGTATTCGTACTGCGATTCATTTAATCTTCAAATATCCTTTCCAAATTTGTACACTATGTACTCCTTGTGCAAATTCTTTAAAAAAACATAAATTTGATTTATATCACCGAAATTATTGTTATAATCCGAAAAAATAGGGGACTTAAAATGATACAAAAGTATCGGCTGTTCAATTACCTAGTAAAAAATTCCAAAAAAATTGGTGACTTAAAAAGATACAAAAGTGTTGGTTGTTGAATTACTAAAAAACACAAATTTGGTTGCTATCACCGAAATACAACATTCAATTATTGTGTTTTTGAAATTACAAGAAAATTTCCTAAAATTGTTAGCTTTGCTATTATTTCTCTATAGAAAATCAAAAGAAGTGGAAAGAGGGGTGTAGAATGTTATGTGAACATCATGCGATTATATAGTTACTTCCTCAATTCTACTATTGAAATTTTGAAGAAAATTAATGCGTGAATTGCAAACGCGCTGACAACCGTAATACAGAAAAAATATTCGTAATGCTCCATTAGATCGCAAGGAATCTGGTTAGATTGCCCAATCTACAAACATAATGAGAGCACATTATTGCATTTACATATTCCCAGCTTCTAATTCGTACTGGAAGAAAATGTACCCCTTATACAGGGTGTCTGGAAAGATCATGTCAAAAATGAAGGGGTGTATATAGGGGATGTCAAAATAGTTGCAGTACTTCATAAAAAATGTGGAGTTATTCGCCTTCAAAGAAAGAAGTTGAAAAACAAATTGCAATTATAACATCTAAGTCGTTACCATGACAACAATGAAATTTAGGCAATTAAAGAAACTCTTGGTATTGGTATTGTTTATTGCCAAGTTTAAATTAATATTCAGTATACCTGGATTATACAGGAGCAAACAAAATTATCCATTTAAATTTACCTATACATCTTTGACAGCGTTGCCAAATTTGATATTCTTCTTTCATAGTTCGATTTCTCTCCCACTTTGCTAAAAAAAGGTACACCGTATATCAGTCGATATCTTGTACCGTTTTCAAGAAACTCGGATTTTATTAACAACATACATTTATTTTTTAAAAAATGCGATATTAACATTTTTGTAAAAATCTTGGTTTATATGGAAATTGAGATGACTGTTAACAAGTTTGTACAATTATTACTCCTGTAAATAGTAGGAAATAATTATTAGGTAAATTGCATAATTACATACCCCGACTTCATTAGAAATGATCACTGCATGTTATTTCTAGTACAGCAGAGGTGTTTGAGCTATTTCAGAAAATGCATTGAAGTTCAAGGTAGATACACAAATTGAACATCTTACTTGACAGTTCTCTTTTTTCTTTTAATAATTTCCATCGAAACCAAGATTTTTACATAGAATGTGAATATCACATTTTTGTTACAATAAATGTATGTTGTAAATAAAATTCGATTCTCTCAAAGACGGTACAAGATATCGATTGATATAAGAGGAGTATAGCTGTGGAGGTTCTGGCTCACTTTGGTAACCTGTCCATCCGAGTCTCCACGGCAGTGGTTGTGGCGGAGTAGTAGTGAAGAAGAAGAAGTCAATGACCGGAAGGTGCAGCCGTCGAAGAAGAAGTGTAGTCAATGACCAGAAGGTGCAGACGTAGGTGTGCAAAGAAAAAAAAAAGGTAGCGGTAATGGCTTAGACGAAATGTGTGTGTGTGTGTGTGTGTGTGTGAGAGAGAGAGAGAGAGAAAGAGAGACAGAGGAGACGAGCCTGGCCTACCCTCAAGCGTACTCTTCGATGTATATTTTATTAGATTTTAATATTTGCGTACGCGTTGTATATTTTAGCTTGGGTGGTAATATTTGCGAGAATTAAAAAATTAGAAGAGATTAGTTGACCCTTGAGGTCACGTTATATCTTTATCACATTAATTATTGAATAAACAAGATTAGTTGACCCCTGAGGTCACATTATATCTTTATCACATTAATTCTTGAATAAACAAGATTAGTTGATCCTTGTGGTCAAATGTTATGTTTAAATATGAGTTAAAATATTAAAATTAGATTACACAGTGGACCAAAGAAGAAAACAAAACGATTTGTTTTATTTGGAGAAACAAAAATATTTGTTCCGCCAACTGCCTCCTGTGAGATTTAAACTCACGACCTCCGGTTTTCTAAACCAGCGCTCTACCTCACTGAGCTAAGGAGGCTATATATTCATTGCACCTTTAAGATACATGTAAATTTCACGACTTTATAAGTTATTGAATGTATGTTATTTGAGATAGCAGATAACCTCTGACCTTGTTATTTTAATTAAAATGAATGAGGAACCAATTTAATGTTTTCATATATTTTATATAATTAATGTACTGAGTGGACAGCTGATTTTAGTGAGAAAGAAATTTATTAGATTTGTTTTGTAATTAACAATTAATATTTTTTTTAAGACTCCGTTTACACAGGTGACATTTAGATTGCGATGGTACAGATCCATCAACTTCCATCCATCCATCCATCCATCATCTATGCCATTCTGGTCGGTTGTGGTGTACGAAACATGGAAGCTGTACTTGTAGGTTGAAGTTTTCTGTATATTGCTGAGGAAGCTTTAACCATGAATGTAAAAGTTCAATAGGATGAGCACTTTCTATTAAATATTGTAGTGAAAAATTTTTAAGTTGTTCATCGGTAAAATTATATTATTGTTATGTGTTATATTAGAAAAGTATTGTTTAATACTAATTTTTCCTTTTCTAGTATTTGATATTCATTTGTTTGTAAAACACGTATATAATTAATAAATAAAGAACTTAAATTATATTTATGTGTTTTCTTATACTACTACTACTTTATAAATGTTAGGTTATAATAAAACAAAGACTGATTGTTTAAAATATATTTTACAAAGCAACAGACAACTACATTAACATTCAATTAGATATTTATCTAGAATATTTTCTAATATTGCAAATAACAGTTCTGCTTTTTCAAGGTGTTTTGCCGTGTAAAATTTCAAATGGTGTAGGAGATTTCTTTTTATTTTTTTCTGTTGTAGTCATTCTATCCTCTAGAGCTCTTTTGGATGTTTTTGGTCTTATTGTTGTTGGCTTAATTCTTTTTCGTTTCCTTGCTGTTATCATTTCCTGAGATGTAGGCAAGTTAAGTAATGTTGGTGAGTCTGATTCTGGTGACTCAGGTGAGAGTGCTGATGGTGGTGGTGGTGGTGATTTTTCTGGGGTTATCTCATTATTCATTTTTTCTCTTATAAATTTTATATGCTTTTTGAATTCTGCTTCATTCATCGACATCTTAAAATAGTTAAAGTTGTTGTTGGACTTTCTAGTTCCACTTGTTCACAGTTTAAAGTTGCANGGTGGTGGTGGTGGTGATTTTTCTGGGGTTATCTCATTATTCATTTTTTCTCTTATAAATTTTATATGCTTTTTGAATTCTGCTTCATCATCGACATCTTAAAATAGTTAAAGTTGTTGTTGGACTTTCTAGTTCCACTTGTTCACAGTTTAAAGTTGCATTGTAAACTGTATGTGCAGCATCAGAAACCAATAATTTATTGATTAAAACTGGAATAATTTACATAATTTTATTTTATTGATTTAAAAATAATTACTAGGTATATGTTTTGCTTTATCTTGCACTTTAAAAATCTCTGCAGCTACACGTGGAAAACACATTGAATTTGGATAATCGGTATTTCCTTGACATTTTATACATTTATACTTCACCGGAACTGGCATCTTAGAGTGGTTATAGTAGTATAGCAACCCCCGCTCTGGGCCACCTCGATGGCTTAATTTACATATATGCTATAAACTATAATTAAAATTGGTACATGTTGGATTATATTTTATTTCTTAAAATAATTGCTAGGTATATGTTTTGATTTATATTGATCTTTAAAATACTCCTCCTAATAACGTCAGGGTGAATTCAAAGACATTTAGTTTTTTCTTGTTCTCTTTTTGTTCTAAATAATCTAGTTCATTCACTAAACAACGCAGAAAGTATTCCGATCCAAATCAAGATTTCAAATATTGAGGAGCCAACCACCAAGAAGAAGAATACAACCACAAAATATTCTGAAACCTCAATATAACAAGACATACGGAACGAATTGGTGCAGGAGTTGTCAACATTTTTTTTGTTTTTGCAAAAATTCCATCGTAGTACATCGTACCGCCACACAACAACCATCATTATTAGATTTGTATTGCTATGAGACCCTTCCAAAATCTTAAGATGCCTAAATTCAAAACATATACAGCAAACGTGATGGAGGCAATAATATGTGGTGTCTGCGGTAAAACAATTAGGCAACGACCACAAACCAATAATGATTGAACTCCGAAAACAATCATCGTCACGTGTCCCGTATGTCTACAACCACGACCTTGCAAAAAAACGATCAAAGTTTCTTGAATTTAAACTATGATGTACGTTATAGACTTCGAATAATTTTGTAGTACTATCTAAATTCAAACAGATGTTTAATAAATATATTTTTACAGCCTCGTTTTGAACGTCCCATTCCCAGTGGATCAGGGTTAAGGAAGATCAAAGAAGAAATCGTTACTAATAAAATGGAAACGTGTAATAGGCTATATCAAAGCCAACCATGCAACGAGTACGATTGGTCGGCGATGATGAGACATTTTGATACTGCTGCAATGGAAGACTCTGTAACCAGGGACCACTGGAATTGGATCAAGCGGGAAACATGGCCGACATCCAAAAGAATAAATTTTATAATAATTTAAACAATATAAATTTAAAAAGAAAATTGTAATTTAAATTCATCTACAATAAAATTTATTATTGAAATNTCAACGCGCCGTTCCGTTCATGAGCGACCCAAGTGTGGTGTGCAACTGTTTAAAAGTACTTACATACATACATTTTTGGTAGGAAATGTAAGTACACTTCGAAGAAAAAGTGCGGTAGTTCAATGTTTTATAACTATATACTTAATATCTACATACATACATTTTTGGTACAAATTGTAAGTACACCTTGAAGAAAAAAAAGTGCGGTAATAACTTTTTATAATTATGTACTTAGTGTACCAGTACTTACAATACATACATTTTTGGTATAAAATATAAGCACACTTCGAAAAATAAGTGCAACTTTTTATAATTACATAGTGTAAACTATTGTAGACGCTAACTGCAAGGCTGGCACTGAACGAAAATATAATTCTTTCTTATGATCTACTCTATTATATAGAAAAATCCCACTACAATTCGAATGCATCACGTCACATGTCACCCTATTGTACGCACACTGCACATATTGTAAAAAATATAGAGGTCAACGAAGGTGATTGCTTCAACCCACCCATCAATGTCATTTACCAACTACGAAGAATATTTTAACTATGTATTATAGAGGTCATATAAAGGTGACCAACTTATGTGACCTTCAATGTCGTTCACGGTCACCTCATACGTCACCACATATGTCATTTCAAGGGCGAAAGTGGAGGGGGGAGACTCACAACCGGTTAAAATACCCTACTTTTGCCATTTATTTTCTCTTTCTATATAAAGGTAAGGGCAGACACAACTATTTTTGCTGCGCTGCAATATGAAAAACTACGCAACTCCAGTGAATCTTCGTGTGAATATATATGCAACCTACAAAGTAGCGCATGCAGCATGGATGCGTGCAATATTTCTGTAACTCCACGCGCTGTAAATGTAGCCTGATGTGAATAGAATTTTTAGAAGTTGCAGCCGCTGCAAATAATATCAAATGAAACTTTTGCAGTAGGTTGCGTGCAGATTTATCATGTACGGTGTCGCATAGATCTACTATCTAGTATCTATTTACATTGCAGTTGCCATTCGTAGAAAATTTTTATAAAATAATAATTCATCTCCACGTAATTCTCGGAGTAAATTATTCATAAATCCACATTTGTCTATTTCTGATCCATTTCTTCACTCAAATTCTCTTTTTTGGATGGCGTTTACGCCTTGTTCGTTTTAATAATACAGTCAACAGACAAACTGTCGCTGGTACTGTTTGATCACGAGCACTCATATTGCAGAATCTACCTATATCGTATCTAATACATAGTTTGACAACGATACGAATCCGACAACAGCACCAAACAAACTCGTAGTAGGTAAAGCACTTCAAATGCTGTAGCTGTACTACTTTTGGGATACGTGTGAATACAATACGAAACTTTTACAGCCTAAACTAAGCAGCAACAGTAGCTGTGTCTGCTCTTACCTTAAATTCATCATATAATCAAGGATTAGAGAAATTAATACTTTACTGTCAATAGTTGTCATTGTACATGTTTAGTCATTTAATACAAGTGTTTTTGTATACAACTAACGGTCCTTAAAAAAATAGTGAAATATGCGATATGCACTTTTTTATGGTCTTGCTAATGTCGACGCTTTAACAGTCAGGAGCGTTCATTAAGAACGTTATCCAGATCGTACAACATCATTCGTTTGCATCAGTACCGCTGAAAATGAGCACCATCAAGCAGTTACTACGCAGGTGGAAGAACAAGTGCTTAGCGATATTAGGAAGATTGCTCACACGTTAAATATTGGCCACTCAACAGTTTAGTATATTCACAGTTACACGGCGATCACGGATTCGTTAAAATTATTTTTATTATTTATTAATTTCGAAAATTCCGAATAGTTTCAAACATATTCGAAGGAAACCGATTTTGTGCTATTTCTTTTTTAGTCGTATTTCACTTGTTTTTCAAAATTTTAGGACAAAAATGTGTAGTCTGCTATTAAATGATATGAGGAATAGATTTTTGCTGTCAGTTTAACAACTCGATAAAAATGTGTGCTGGACTTTAGTTATTTTTTGTTTTTTGTTATGGATGCCATATTGAGGTTTTGGCTTATTAAAAGAAAAGGAAAATTCTCTTTGTAACGATGTATAACTTACTCTCATTCTGCAATTTATTTAACCATTTTTATTTGCTGATAGTAGCAGAGATGGTCAACAGTTAAAGTTACCTCACCTAATAAAATCATTGTATTGAAAATGAGACTTTCAATGTAACGAGAAAAGTTTGCTGAAACCTATAAGAATATTTTAATAGCTTTCCTACTTTTTTTATTTGCGTATGGTACATGATTATTAAATAACAATTAAACATCTAATACAATATAATTTAATAGGCACTTGAATTTAATGTGTGTCA